TTGCTAAGGAGAGGTAAGCGGATATTTTGTGTTTGAGCTTTGTGATGGCTGCTTAACGAGTATTCCATTCAGTCTGGAATATATAGATTTGATAGCTGGTGCTTCAGCAGCCATCCTGGACCATGAAGCAGATTGTGTGGATAGAAGCTGTGAATTAGGATGGCAGGGCAAGAAGACAGGAAGAGCCCAGATCCTTAAGGGCATGGTGGAGCAGCCACAATGACCTTGAAGACTGTGGTAGTTATGTTTGTGTGTCAACTTCTCTGGGCCTGGTTGAGTGGCTAGGCAGCTGGTGGTAGTTATTCCCCATGATGAGACTGGCAATCAGCTCCATGGTGGGATCTACCACAAGCAGCTGAGTAGCTGCCTTTGGGAATGTGGTCTGCTTCCTTTATTTAAGAAGCCTTGGGAATAGTCTCTAGCCTATGGCACGCTTAGACCCTGCATGTAGCCATGTCCGTTGCTCAGTAGCCTGCTATGCTCTGCCAACCTTGGGACTTACAATGGACTTAAGTCAATGGCCTGCCATGTGATAACATCAGGACTGTGCCTTTTTACTTGTCAACCTTGGAGCTTCTCAGCCTCAACAGCCAGCAGCTGTCTGAGTGAAGAAACGCCTCTAGCTCCAGTGGGCCGGGAGCAGGAGGCAGAGCTGGACCCCAAGGTTGAGGGGCTTTCATGCAGCCCCTAGAGCCTGGCACTTTGAACTTGGACTTAAAGCCTCCAAACTGTAAGAATAAACTCCTGTTTGTTAAGGCCATCCCATTTATGGTATGTTTCCTGTCAGAGTGGCACTAGGTAACCAGAACAAAGACTAACCCTCAGATTTCTTCTAAATGAGAGAGAAATGTCTACCTTGTTTAAACCAGTGCTATTTTTGGTATTTCTATTATATGCAGCTGGCCCTAATCTTGAATAATCTAGGTAGGCACCATACCTCAATCACAGATTAAAAAAACCCAGGTGCACAGATCATATTAAATTGCCCAAGCTGAAGGTCCCAGAGCTAAATAAGTGAGCAGGGCTCTGAGTTGAAGCCAATCCTGACCCCTTTAGCTAGCGTGTACTGCCATGAGAACTCTTCTGTCCCAAGTAAATATTTGTCACAAGGCAGCAAAGGTTTGTCCCCAGGGAAGTAAGTGTTTGTCTTCTTGGCCACCTCCACAAGTGAACTTGACCTGGAACCTTTTCCTATCCCAAATACTGGGCAGAGAGGGCTGGAACACCCACGTGTGGCCAGCCTCTGCAGAGCTGCTCCAAAGATGAGGTTCGCCTGGGGCAGATTCCGAGGCCCAGTGTTGAGCCCAGGCATTGGGGCTCAAATTGCAGTTCCACCAATTATTTGCTGGGTGACTTTGAGTTAACGACTTTGCCTCTCTGGGTATGGCTAGAGGTGAAGTCAGCTGAAGAGGTAGGAGCACCAGTGAAGACAATGCTCCAAGGTGAAAAGGAACAAAAGAGCAGGAGACCAACAAGGGAAAAGTGAGGACAAAGAGGCCCTCCCAGTCAGAGCAGCCACAAATACACACCCCTACATCTGACCCCTCCCTTCCTTCTGAGCAGGGTCCCTCGGGCCAGCTTTGTCTTTCTACTTTTAATAGAGACATGGGAACAAGTAACTCCTTACGAATGTGCCTACTGCGCTCACTGCCATCGAGTCCATTTGACTCATAGCAACCCCTCCTTGGGTTTCCAAGGCAGTATCACTATGGAAGTAGATTGCCCAGTCTTCCTTCTGAGGAGTGGCTGGGGGTTTGAACCTCCAGCCTTCTGGTTAGCAGTCAGATGCCTTAGGCATTATGCTACCAGAGCTCCCTCCTTACAATTGTTGTTGTTGTTATGTGCCATCGAGTCATCTCTGACTCATAGCGACCCCTCCTTGGGTTTCCAAGGCAGTATCACTATGGAAGTAGATTGCCCAACCTTGCTTCCAAGGAGTGGCTGGTGAGTTTGAACCACCAACCTTCTAGTTAGCAGTCAAGTGCCACCAGAGCTCCCACCTTGCAAATAGTTACCTACAATTTAACAAGCAGCCGCTGACATTGCCCACTGTGAGCAAGATTGCAGGGAGTGGTGGGGACCATAGCAACAAGAACTGCCACACAGAACAGGATACCAATCTAATGATGTCTCAGAAGATGCTAGATTTGGGATTTGTTTTCCCCACATCAATCTTCCTATTTTCAAAAACATACTGGCAATGGATACATTCTTTTAAACATGCATCAACACTGTGCAAGGTGAATAAGACACAGCTGCAGGCTACATCTGGCCCTCCAGTTCACAGCTCTAGTCTTAGGCCTGGAAAATAAAACAGAAGTTAAATCATGCATCAGGACCAAGGCAGGATTTGGAAATCGCAGGGGCTGGAACTCGTTAGGGCAGCCGCTTAACTTGGGGGTGGGGGGCAGCCTGTCCAAGCATTGGGTTGGGATTTAACAACATCCATCAGGTGGCCTGAACGTGCACTTCAAAGCCAATAGGGACCCAAGCGCCCTCCCCGCCACCCCAAGCAGAGCCCAGCTGCTTCTTCCAGGCCCAGAGTACCCATCCCCGGCCAAGAAAGGGCCCATCCATCCAAATAATTTACAATGGACAATGTGCACTCTAGGCCCAGTGCTGCTTCAAAGTTTTGGGTGACTGCCCCCACTTCTTCTTCCTTGTGCCTCTATTTTATTGGAATGACTGAACCTTTCAAGTATGTTAGCAGTAAACACAGCTAATTTACCCCTGCGCCTTTGAAACAGCTGCTGACAGCTGCACCGAGATTCCCTCAGGACCCTTATAGTCAAACTTCCCAAATCCACATCGGGTGTGTGGGTCCCTCCTGCCCGGAGCACCACACAGCTGCACCAAATATCGACAAGCGCCCGTTTCTCTCCAGGGGCCAGATGATCCATGACGGGTAAACGTGGAGGCTGAGGCAGAGCTGCTAGGAGGCGGCGAGAACTCCAACATCTGGGGGGGCGGGGGGGCAACAGACACAGACACAGAGCCAAGAACCAAATGTCTTCTTTTATTGCAAAGTCAAAACGCTTTTCATTTTCTCTATTTATACACAATTTCTGCTAATGACTGCCCTATGCAGCAGCCGTGGGTACATTGGTTGGGTCGTCAATAAATAGTCTTAAATAAGAAAACAAACAGGTTGAAGGGTATCGAGGAGCTCAAGGTCCTGCACAGGGATCAACGGGAGCATTTTAAAAAGAACCTCAGATAGAAATAAATACTTTTGTTTTGCGATAATTATTTACATGTTTAAATGTACAAAGGATGCTTTGTACCCTGTACCCCGTGGCTGGTTGGGGTGTGAGGAAGAACCAGCACCAAGCAAAAGCTCCACAGACAAGTCTCAAGGCTGCCAAAGGCAAAACAACATGCGGTGGGGGAAACCACTCCTTCCCATTGAGACAGAGAGCTAAGGCTGCAGCCCAAACTACAAGAGAAGAAAAAGGAAATCTAAACAGGGCCCACCATTTCCACGAACCAGCTTAACTGTGAGAAAGCGTTCCCACACACTCCATGTAGTCAGAGTTCCTGCCTGAGTAACCTATTCTTTTTCCAGATGCAGGAAACATTCACAGACCCCCAGGTCCTCCAAGTGCCAAGCAAGCTGGGTTTCAGAGCCCAAGGCTGTGTGTGCTGGAGGGGTGTACTCCATTTATGGAACCTGCTGGCCAAGGCAGGGGATGCGTGTGACAAATGTCAGAAAGGGTGCTCTCCTCCTTGGGACAATTAACGACACGGGAACAAGGGTAGCATTTGCCTGACAAGAAAGCAGGAAGGAGCAGGAAACATGGCCAAATGGAAACAGAACCCAGGGAGGAAGTGGAAAAAGTGCCGTTACATTGAAAGGACCACAACTAATGTCATGAAACAAAATGTGTACACACTGCTGAATGGGGGTGGGGGTGCTACAAGCTGGTTAGGACAGCACCCTCCCAACGGCTTCTAGAATCTTCTGTTTGAGATTTACATCCAGGACCCCCTGCACATAGCAGACCTCCCACCACACCTTCCTTCAAGGAGAAGTTTGCAGAGCCCACCAACAGGGGTTTGCAGACAAGGGGACGTAGAGACCTTCATCAGAACCCAAAGGGAGGGGAGGGTCCCGTTGGAGGCTGGACAGTGTACCTCCCATCCCCATCTCTTTAGAGAGCTAGGTTTCTTTAGTACTTCCTTAAAATAGGGCCAGTTCAGGCCAGAGTTCAGCATCAAGTCTCAAGTTCAGTCATCTTTGCTCTCTTCCCGCCTCCGGCAATTCCACGTGGCTTTCCTACCACAGGAGACAGTTGCAAGACCCATCCTAGGGTGTCACCTGGTGTATCGCATGCCTGTTTTGATTTCTGCCAGGACAAACTCAGCTGAACAACACAACATATTTCTGAGGTCAATATATCCCCTCCTCCTAGCTGAAGTTCCCCCCTCTCCCTATCTGGGTAAACACCAGGTCCCTGCAGCCTCAGAATGAAACGGGACTGGATAAGGAGGGGAGGAGGACCTCTCTCTCTCCACTGCCAAAGCTTCTGTTTACGAAATTAGAGGAAACGAAGAAATGGGGATAAACTGTTTAGGAAAATCTCTCTATAACATCCTAACCATTTTCATTCATTCGTTTTATTGTGACATTTATTACAGGAACTTAGCACAGAAGAGGTGCCCACCCCTCACCGCGCCCCGTCCACTCTTGGGGGGTGGCCGGGCTCAGAGGCGTTGGAATCGTCTGTGAAGTGAGTCAGCGCACAGCTCAGGCCCCCATTGGCCGCAGGTTCCTTTCTAAGTCCTTGTTCTAGGTCTTTGCCTGCGCCTGCGGACACTTGTAGGAGCTTGTCCATGAGATGCCAATGCAAAACCAACCAAAGACATCTGCCTTTCGAATTCCTGAATACGCCTAGGCCTTGGAAATTGGGGGAAGCGAGAGGAAGGTCTCTGGAAAAGGAGGTTGGTGCACTGGCTCCCTGCCCAGGTTGGCGGTGGGAGAATGAAGATCCCTCTGGAGGAACATGGCCCCACGTTCGGCTCCTTCGGAGGGGCTAGTGGCAGCCGCAGGCCCGGACAACCATGTTTCTGTACTTCTTCAGAATGACGTTGGAACTATCATCAAAGTAGAGGACAGAGATGGCGTTGAGCTGGGTCGGGGCACAGCAGGGCTTGGGCACTGTTTCTGGGTTGATGAAGTGGACCTGTAACACAGCAAATGTTGGCAGTGGTGTGGGGCAGGCAAGTGGCGAGGCAGGGAGGGTGGGCCCTGGCAGGACCATGCACTGGACAACAGCTGGGGACCTCTCTATAATGTGGTTCCCTCAACGGCCACAACAGTGGCTGCAAACATTCCAACAATCATGAAGATGGCACAGGCAATGCTTTGTGCTGCTGTCCACGGGGTCACCATGACATGGAGCCAATTCGATGACAAGGAGCCAGCTCACACGTGTGAGGCGGGATCATTCCGCGCCGTGGGGCTGTCTTGTGCTTTGTGGGATGTTCGACAGCATCCCCAGCCTGACCCACCAGATGCTAGCAGCACCCCTCAATTGTGACAGGTGGAATAATATAAATCAACGTTTTATTGTACCCAATAGACCCACAATACGATTAGTTCAATATGCAGTATACATATAGTGCCATGTTAGGTGCCACTGAGTTGACCCTGACTCATAGCTACCCCACGTAGCAGAGTTCAATGGAGCAGAACTGACAGGGATCTTGGGGTTTCCCAGGCCATCATCTTTATGGAAGGAGATTGCTGGGTCTTTCTCCCATGAGCCATTGTGAGGGTTTGCAGCACCAACCTTTCAGTAAGGGCTCCTGATGTAGAAGTTATTATTAAAGTTTTATAAAGGGAAGTTATTACTGATAGTCCACTATTTGAGGCTTATTTTTGATACTATGACTTGGTAAGCCAGTGTGGATTTTATGTTAACAGCACAGCTCAATTCTCAGCTGCCACATTTCAACTGCTCAAGAGCCCTACGTGGTTAGTGGGCGTAGGGATTGAACTACTCATTCATCATCGGACCGTGGAGGTCCAAACTGCACAGCCACTCGAGGTGCAGTTTTTAATATTTTCCACGGTGGAGTAAGCCCAGAAAGACCAACGGCCCCCACTTAGTGTTGCTGGCCACCCCCCCACGGGGGTGCATGGCAGCACCTACCAGCGTCTGGACGATGGCGTGATTGGTGGCGTTCATGTAGGAGTTCAGAGGGAAAGCACACTCCCCCTCACAGTAGTATGCGGCATAACCTTCAGGAGCAATGATCCAGTCCTGTACAGAGAGGAAGGGTGTGGAGGGGCTGGAGGGCTCATGTCCCGGAACCAGGATAGCCCCAACGTGGCGCTGGGCTCCTGCCCAGCTGTGCCCTCCCGAGCAGGCCAGCGGGGCATGAACACATGGATGGCAGTCCCTCATGGCACCAGAAGAATGCAAAATAAGCCCAGAACGGACATGCCCGTGGTTTCATCTCCTGGGTGGAAGGCGGTACAGCAAGGTGGCTTTGGTGTTAGAGTGAGCAGGCCTAAGAGCCAACTTCAGGCCCTAGTAGGTGTAACACCTCAGGTGGTTTTATTCAAAGCCTGTGCCTCGGTTCGCCTTCCTGCTAACAGATTAACTAATAGCTCATTGAGGCTCCAGAGAGAAGCGAATGACAATGAGGGTAGTGTAGCTGACACAGGGCGTGGTCTGTCTACACTCTTCAATAAAAGATGCATGTGGCCACACAGCCGCTTCCATTTGCTTAGCACAGAAATACTGTTCTAGCAGTCAGCGGACCCCTCAATGACCTTTCATGGAATCTTCCGGCAAAGGCTCTGGAGCTCAGGATTCGGTTCCAGCACCAAGACCTGAGCACCACCCGGCACCTGTGAGAGCAAGTGTTGTCTTTCGGATAGCATCACGGAAGGGCACCAGGTGACTCTTCCACAGAACTACAGGCTGCCCGAGGGAGGAACAAGTAAGCCAATTGCCCTGTGAACACATGGCAACCCCTTGACCAGGGACATTTGAGCTCCATGAGGGCAGGGACATTGTGCTGCTCACTGCCGACCCTCTACCCCCCAGCCCTAGCCGGACTCCATCCAAATGCTTTCAGAGGGAGCAGGCATGTTCCTGTAATGTGGTTTCAACCCTCATAATAGTTGTTAGGTTCAGAAACGAGCACGTGACCCAAGCCAAACAAATCAGCTCCTTGCCTGGGAATTTGAGTCATGGAAGGTTGAGGTGCGACAGATAGGACAGAAGGGGTAGCCTTCTTTTCTAGGAAGCTGGACTGGAATGAACACAGGCTCAGCCATGTCCAGAGGAGAGAGGCAGCCTGTCTGCAGAGAATGAAGTTCAGAGCTCAATAGTGTGAGGGTTCTGGGTTCTAACTGTGTCTCAGCCACATTTCTTCATGAATCCTTAACCTATGTGCTCCCTGCCCACTGAGACCCCTTGGTACCAAGGTTTTCTCAGACACAGATGAAAAACATGACATTTGCTACCTTGGCAGCACCAAGGAGCACAGAACACCCATCCCACCGCCTCTTACCTGCCAGCCCAGGTCACGGAAGCTGACGTACAGCTCGTGCTTCTTACAGGCCTGTCTCTGGTCACTGCTGCTGTTTTCTGCAATGATGCAAAGCAGCAGAAAAGGGGGGAAAGGAAAAACAAACACACACATGTATGACACTTGCCTCGTCCAAGGCTGTCGTGTTCACGTCATGCAGAAGCTAGAGGGTGGATTTTCAGACAGCGAAAGCTGGTGTGACGATATGGACCCTTATGTTCTCCATTGCCAACCCAGCAAATGGTTTGGATAAAGGAAGTGCCAAGGCCCCTATCCCCCCGCCAGAAGGACATTCTGGATCCTTCTGTGGACAATAATTTCTTTCTGTGAACACTACATTTTTAAAATGCAGATGTCTGGCCTGGGCTCCATAAGGGCTTCCAAGCCCCATGGCCATTATAAGGGAGGACCAGGAAGTAGATGTTGGGACTTACTTCCACCATCACCACCACTGCAAAGAATGAGAGGGCAAAAGGTCAAATCCCACTGATCTCCCAAAATACACACTCTGGAGTTTTCCTTGAGGAGGAAGATGATGTACTGGGGTTTCCCAGAAATGTGAAAGGTCTGTAGGCGTTGGCGTTAGGCACAAAGCACTTATAAACCCTGCAGAAATCGCCCCCTCTGCACCGGAACGCCCCACATGCGTGCACGCACATGCTCACGGCTCCTGACCCTGTGCAGCTGCAGCGTTTCCTGCCTTCTTCTCCTCAGCCCACGTTTCGTCCGCCGAACACTTTCCAATGTTTTATCATCTGGGAACAATAGCCAACTCCTGCCCTTGGCCTGTAGGGCCTCGTGGGGCCTGGACTTCCCACCCATTTGTGAACAAGTGCATCTCCACCTCAGGGCCTTTGCACATGCTGTTCCCTCTACAGGGAATGGTGGAGAGGGCAGAAGGAGGAAGGAAGAAAAAGAGAAAGGCTTGCAGACAAGGAAGGGCAGGAGGTAGCCCAGAACAGCGTGAAGGGGCCACCAGAACATGGTCTCCAGGGGATTTTCCAGAGATGCTCAGGTCAGCGGGTTCAGTCACAGGCCCCTTTCGTTTTCATCAACTTCTGACAATGTCCTCAGTGTTTACTCCTATCTGTAGCTGACTCCTGCAGGGTGCAAAGGGTTCACGTGTTCATTTGCTAAAGGAAAGTCTGTGGTTTGCATCCACTCAGAGGCACCTCAGAAGAAAGGTGCAGGGGTCTACTGTCAAAAAAGCAACCACTGAAACCCGACGGCCAATTCTCTGACAAACGTGGTAGCCGGCAGCTGGTTCCTGTTCAGAACAGCAATTCTTTCAAGATAAACAAACCAATGAGAAAATTTTATTTGCTCAATTGTAACAGAATTGCCTGTGTTTATATGAGGAACCAGGAGCTCTGGTAGCACAGTGCTTAAGGCACTTGACTGCTACCAGAAGGCTGATGGTTCAAACCCACCAGCCACTCCTCGGAAGGATGGTTGGGCAATCTACTTCCGTAGTGATACCGCCTTGGAAACCCAAGGAGGGGTCGCTATGAGTCGGTTCCAACTCGACGGCACATAACAACAACAACAACATATGAGGAACCTGGCACCCAGCAGACACTTAAAGCTCACTTTGTGCAATGGCATTGGGTGATGTTGGGAGCAGTCTCGGCCACCTTCCTGCCATCATGGGGCAGGAAGTGGTCCCTCCGTGCCTGTGTCTGGAGCACTCAGCCCCTTCACTCACCCACTCATTCATCAGACGCATTCCCACCGAGTGCCTGTGTGGTCCTGTGCCTTGGAGAACCACATGGGCCCAGAACAAAGTCGCTGCACTGTGGGACTCCACTCGAGAGAGGCAGAAAATCAACAGATAAACAAGGAATATCAATCTCATCCGGCAGAAATAAGGACAATGGGAGGGAAAGCCGGAGGAGCAAGCTGCCTGCAAGGTGATTTGACATAGGTACCCACAGAAGACACAGTCCTTATCCCCAACCAACCATGGGGATAGCCCCAGATCACCATGAGTCAAGGTCAACTCGATGGGCGCAAACAGCATCATTGAATAGAAGGCCACTGCCCCACACTGCCCCTCCAGTCTCCATGGACCTTGGCTACCCCGGAAATCTTGTTGGAACATTTAGTGATGACCTCTTTAGCAGAAAGGCAAAGCAAATACTTGGTGCCCAGCAACAGGAGAGACCAGCTGAAACTAGACTGCACACGCCCCTGCCCAGCCCCACCCGCTGCCCCTGGCAGTGGGAGGAAGGAGCAGCAGGCGGCCACAGACTACTCCATCCACCTCCACGGCCCCCACTGAGCACTAACAAGTCACAGCTGGTGTTCAGAGTCAGCCCCCCACACACACACACACACACCCCATATGGTGAAGATGGCTAATTAGCAGGGAGTCTGGTCCCAAGGTGGGTGGGGAGGAGGAAGTGATGGGAGGCAAGGGACCCGGTTTCTCAACTCAAAACCACATCATCTGAGGAGCACTGGAGGCCCTGGGGGTGTGCAGCCTGCAGGAAGCAGGCCTGGACACGTGGCTGGGCAACACGGGGCAGGCCGGGGCCTCCACTTGGGCGGCCCAGCAAGGTTCCCGGGTCATCACATGTGGGGTGATCCTAGCACACAGTGATACAGAAACACAGACATGCACACAGTACACAGACACACCACAACACACAGATACACCAACAGTGCGAGAGCTCTCAAAGCGGGTACATACCTGCACACATGGCCACGCAATAACACACATACATACTGGCACACAATAACACACACACTGACACACAGTGACACACACAGTGATGAACAATGAGACACACACACACACAGTAACACAGACATATATACCGCACTCACATACCCCATTCAGAAATTTTGTTTTAGAGAGTCTGGGGTAGGGCTGAGACCTCGGTTAATGAGAACTTAAAAAACAAAGAATCGTAAGAAGGAGCCAGATTTCAGGTGGAACAGGCTGCCATGGGATGTAGTGAGAGCCCTGTACTAGGAGTTACATAAACAGGTTTGGTGAGGATGCTGTGGGGAAAACCAGGGGTGGATTGAGGCTTCACGGCCTGGCTCCTCTCCCCACATTACCAGGGTGCCCCACTAGATCTCCAAACACACGCAGGAAGCTCTGCTGGGGTTGAGTTTGCCAGCCCTTCCTGCCTGGTGCTGTGTGCAGTCTCCTGGTGCCCCATCCCAACCTGCCCGCCACCATTCCACCATTCCCAGAGAGGCCAGAAAACACAAGAGAATCTCCTTTTTTTAAGGTCAGCTGATGGGCAAAATCAATTCACCTGCAACTCCCTTTGCCATGCAAGGTAGTAACTTCAAAGGTTCAGGTGCAGATTCTAACCACCACGGAGGTTCCCAGAGAGCTGGGGTTAACAGTGCGCTGTCCCTGCCCAAGACATGGAAGAGCCAGCCAGGCTGATGGCATGATGGCAAGGGGCAGGCCACCAGGAAAACAGCTGTTGGTGGAGTAGTCTGACCAGAAGGCTCCTTTTCGGTCTGGGGCACATTTGAGATGTATCTGCCACTAGCAGTAAAGTGCGGGGGAATAGAGACACGGGCCAGTGGTACAAGTGGGTCTCCCACAGATGTCCCCAGGGCCAGGGGCTGTTCTAAGCCAGCCCAGGCCCCCAACCCAAGAGCAAAAACTCATCCTACATATCACAGCAAGCCCAGGGAGCTAGATGCCATCAGCATCTGCCTCCCTAGTCAGCCTGGTGAGAGGGCTGCATCCTAGCCACAGCCTCAATCCAATGCCTAGGACAAAGCCAGCAGCCCACGCAAGGGCTCAGTCAAGGCCCAGGGAATAGTCAGAAAACAAGACTGTCAGAGCCATCATAGAGCATCTAGGGCAGGGAGGCAGACGTTGTCTAGCAAGTTGAAAACCTGTGGTTCGAAGACGACTGACTTGCTGGTTGCCCTTGGGCAAGTTCCTTAACCTCTCTGAAACCCAGTTTGTGAAATGAGAGAACACCTGCTGGGGAGCTTCAAGAACTACAGGTAAGCAGGTGCCAAAGGCCCGTGTGCTCTAACCTGAGAACATAAACGTTGCAGCTCCTCGAAATTTCTTGAGGGACACGGTAATGCCAGTATTTCTATCCATGTTTGAATGGCTTGGAATGAAAATGTTACCTTCAGTTTTCATTATACTATTGAAATGTTCCAAACAACACTAAAAGGATCTCAAATAATACAGCAAAATACTTACCCACACATTTTTTTTAACTTATAATAATGAAACAATTCAAATAAACCTAAAAGTATTCCAAATAATATATTATAAAAAACTAACCAACCATATTTTCAAGAAATATTTTTCACTTTAAGAAATAAAACAAATGCTGCGGAGTGACCATGTAAGATACAACTATTGGTCTCTACTTTGGAGGAAAAAAACAAAGAAGGAAACCAAGGACTCAGAGTAGAAACTAGAGCACAGGACAGATAGTCTACATGGACCATGGCCTCATCTCCCCTGAGACCAGAGGAACTAGATGGTGCCCACTACCACTACTGGGTGATCTGATCAGGGCCACAGTACACGGATCCTGACAGAGTGGAGAAAAATGGGCAACAGAACCTCAAATTCTGTCAGAAAAGCACACAAACCCAGACTTACTGGATTGGCTGAGACTAGAGGACTCCCTGGGGCTATCGCCCTGAGATACTCTTTAACTTTAAACCGAAACTTGCCCCTGAGGCCACCTCGCAGTGAAGCAAAGGATTGGTTCACAGAATAAAGCATATCACCCTTTAAGGAGCCCAAAGGTCAACAATCACTTTAAAACAAAAACGAGAAAGTCAAGGTGGCAGGGAAACTAGATGAATGGAAATGGAACAAGCAGAATGGAAATTATGAGGCTGTTCCACACGGTGAAGAATGTAACTGATGTCACTGAACAATTTGTGTGGAAATCGTTGATGGGAAACCTCAGCTGCTGTGTAAACCTTCACTGAAAACACAATAAAATGTTGTTTATAAAAAACAAAACTCATTACTTCCTCCTCCCTCCTTCCCTGTGGAGGTTGGTGTGGCATCTTCCCACATACATTTTCAGACTTTTTCTGCATATGTGGAGCCACGGTTTTGTCCATTAAAGCTTAAGTTTTACTACTTACAGTCCTAAATTGATTGATGGCTCCTACAGAATAAGGCGTCCCTGGGTGGTGCAAAGAGTTGACCCACTCAGTCGCTCACCCAAAGGTTGGACATTTGAGTCCACCCAGAGGTGCCTGGAAGAAAGGCCTGGCAATCTACTTCTGAACATTCATCACCTGAAACCGTCTGGCACACGTTCTTCTCGGACACATTTGCAGACATAATTACAATGCCTTGGTTACGTGACTAAGGGGGTGCCTGTGCGAGAAGGGGCGATGTTGGTCCAAACCATTTGGTGAACATAGGAATTCTGACGGCCCCCCACTCGCCTCCCGTCCTGACGTACCTGCCACGTTGGCCATCCGCAGGGCCTCCTGGTTCTTGGGCGTCTTGGAGCGGTTCTGGCTGCGCTGCTTGGCTCCCGCGGAGCGGACACTGCGCAGATGGACCTCCGTGGCCTTAAAGAAGGCCACCATGAAGGGCTGCTTGTTCTGGGGCCCGTGCCGCCCAATCAGACCTGCCAACTTGGGGTTGATGCTCTGCCCTAGACGGAAACAGACATATGGTGGGAGAGGCTTGGAGGAGGGCCGTTACGGGCTCTGGGTGCGGAGAGGGGACCCAGCCAGTGGTCGCTGGGCACTGAGGGTATGTGGAGCTGGGAGCTCTCTGTGAAAGACACAGAAAATCCCCGCCTGCAAGGAGCGAGGCAGGGAGGTGACAGGTTAGCAGAACAGGTAACTTCCATGCACACTTCATTGGCCACGGCAGGTCACATGCCCCACCTAATCTAAACAGGGCTGGGGAAGTGCCATCATTCTACTGGGCCAAGGCGGGACAGAATAGTTGCCAGCAGCCCTACAAGGACTGTCCCGACACCTTAAGGGGGGTCCTTTGAGTGGACACCTGGACAAGCACGAGGAAGTCCTGTAAATATTTGGGCAAAGATATTCCAGGGCAAGGGGGCTGTGAGTACAAACGCCTAGGGAGGAACGGTCGGGGTACAAGGAGCAGAGGAGCTGGCCGAGGCCGGAGCAGAGACTGCGGGCAGCTGGCAAGGGTCCTGGGGGACAGCAGTGCTTGGTGACTACTCTGTACGAGATGGGAACCCTGGGGGCTTCTGAGCTGAGGGTAAGCAACTGGACTTGCTACTTTGATGCCGCCCTCTTCAGGAAGCAAGGACAGAAGCAGGGAGGGGGGGCATGGGGTCACAGGTGGTGAGACACGGTCAGGTCCCGGATTGTCTTTCTTTAAATCCACCTTTGGGATTGTTCTGTGCCTTTTATTTTGTAACAATTATAAAACTCCCTGGTCACCACCTGAGCACCAGAAAGCATGGAGCTCCTGTGGACAGTGGTGGCGGGGGCAGATTTGACCCCGCAGCTCGGTTCAGTGCACTTCGTCTGAGAACCAAAGGGAGCTGTCAGGTTAGCAGCTGAAACCCCAAGGTGAATCTGAGCAACAGGACTGACGGGCGAGACAAGCCAAAGTATAGCAGGGGGCAAGCCCCAGTGAGCTCCCTGCACGTGCGTAGGTATGAAGACAGCCCAGGCGCCCCCCTGCTGTGGAGTAACTAGGGGGAAACAAGGGGGACTGTGCAGCAGTTTCCCCTGGGAAAAAGGATCTGAAGGATCTAGAAGAAGCTTGGAAAGGAGGAAGTGAGGACACCAAGTGGTCCTGGACAGGAGGGAAGAGGATGGGGGACGTAGGCCTTGAGCCCTGTGCTCTGTTGATGGGTCAAGTGAGGCAGGGCTGAGAACCAACCATGCATGAGGAAAGGATGATGGCTGGTGCTCTCAGGGACTTCAGCACAATAAGGAGATGGGGACAGAGAAGGGCTATTAAACCCATGACAACAGGCTCACCCACCCCAGACACAACCATGTGAGCCGTGAGGCAGAATTTGAACCCAGATCAGGATGACTGAGAGGCAGAGCTCATGATCCCTCCGGAGATGAAGCCCAAGTTAGGATGGGGTCAAGCAACAGTGGGGCGTCTGGGGCCTGAGGCCCATGCCAGTCTATAATTACCTCCACCTGGAGTCCCCCAGACTCCAGGAATCAGCACACGTACCTTCCCAGGCCAGACCAGCACCAGGAGTTCACTCTGGCTTTTTAACAACTCACATTTAAAAGAACGAATATCCACCCCCATCCACAGTGACGCTCCCTCAGCCTCTTGTAACGTTTTCCTGCATTCTTGGGCAGGGTCTCCTCGAGTTCACCCATCTATAATTGGATCGATTCTGTAAAAGGAACCATTAAAGTACAGCCCCTAGGAGTTGTGTTCCACCCCCGGAAGGCTTTTTAGGGCGCAATAAAAACACCAGAAAGTCGATGCTGTTCCGGATCTATTAATGGGAGCTGCAACTGGTCTCGCTGCACCTCCACACGACAGTGCCTGCTGGCTCTCACAGCTGTCCCAACAGGCAGAAGCAGGGACCTCAGCTTCTGCTGAGCTAGGCCCCAGAGAGAAAGAAGACCTTAAGAAGGTCCAAACCCACTTCTGCCACCGTCAAGCAGCCTTTACCTCCTTTTCTGTAAAAGGGGACGGTGCCTCGTGTCACGCATGCCCTCTTTTCTTGGTAACAAACCCAATTGTACCTTCAGCTCACTCCCCTCTGGCCACAGGGGTTGAGCCTGTGGTGCAATAAACCAAACCAGACAGTCAATTCTGACTCACGACAGCCCCATGTGTGCAGAGATCTGCTCCCAGGGCTTTCAAGGACGTGACCGATCAGAAGCAGATCCCTAGGTCTTTCTTCCTAGGTGCTTCCGGATGGGCTTGAGCATGCAGTCTTCCAGTTAGCCACACACTGTTCCACCCAGGGCTTCTGGGGTCCGGTACACGGCAACGACGGAGCCCTGGTGGTGTGCCAGTTAAGCTCCCAGCTGCTAACAGAAAGGCTGGCAGTTCAAACCCACTCAGCAGCTCCATAGAAGACTTAGTGACCTGCCCTGGCACTGTTCTGCTCTGCCACATGGGGTCATTGTGACTTGGAATTACCTTGGTGGCACCTAACAACACCACTAATCCTTCAGGTATGGGCACATGACTGAAGTCAGCCAATGAACACAGGAGAGGCATTCTGGGAGTTCTAGGAAGGCAAACCTCCCACTCTTGGGTCCAGAAGAAATTCTTTCTCTTTCTTTTTCCCTGGACAGGACTGAGGAAGGATGGAAGGAGCCCCAGAAACCATCAGCCACCCAGTGACTGAAGGGGAAACACATTTTCAAGTGAGGCTGACCATGTAGAAGGCAGGGCAGAGATGTGCAGACTGGACACTGGATCAAACCAACTCTGAAGCCTTCTTGTTCCCTTGATTATTTAGTCTGAGCTGATGTTCATACAAACCTGAGGACAGGGGACCTGCTTGTGAAGAATCTTGGCCACAGAGCAGTCACCAGAGGATAGGTGGGAAATATTCCTTCTATCACCAAGTGTGGGAACAATAATGTTCTCAATGCTGAGGGAAGACTGTTGGGCAATTCTTCAAAAGGTCAAACACAGCTACCAACAACTCTAGGTACATGCCCAAGAAAACTGAAAATGTATATTCACCAAAATGTTGTGTGCACAAAGCTCACAGCACAACTATTCAGTCACCAAAAGGGGAGACAAGCGAACTCTGCAAGTAGGGAGGCTCATTCTGGTCGCTGTGCAGAGGGCAGGTTGGGGCCCAGGACAGGGGGCCACAGGCGGGGATCCAGAGTCCCCCTTCCCACCCATGTGCCTCTTCCCAGCTCCCCATGGCCCTAGGAGGGCACCTCTAGGACCCTCACACTGTCCTAAGTTCCTTCAACAAACTTGGCGAAGGGGAAGGGGTAGTCCCCATTCACCCAGCACCAGACTGTACTCTAGAACTGGGCCCCAATACAGCTGGTCACTCAACCTGGGAGCTGTCCTGTGCACTGGTCCCAACCCAGTAGAGGCCAGCAGCTTCCTCTCCCCACCCAAGTTGTGACAAGCAAGCCTATCTCCAGACATTGCCACATGTCTCCTGGGAGGGAAAGCCAGCCCTGATCAAGAACCACAATGTTACGGGCATGCTTGCTAACGAAAGCCAAGACAGTCTGATAAGGGAAGTCCCTGTGGGAGAGGTCAACGGCAAAGCTGTAGAGACGATGTGGCACTTTATTAAGGCAGGGTGGGCACAGCGCGAAACACCTACTGGGTAACCACCTGAAGCCTCATTCATCTTCTGACCAATAAACGGGAAGCACTCTCTGTGCTCGCAGCTGCACCAAAACCAGAGAGGGACCAAAGGGCAGAGCTGCGAAGCCCACATGGAAAGGCCCCTAACATGACATGCCCTAGTGTGAGCACACTGGGTAGAAAAGAAACTGAAAGCATATTCCAGTCGATGGTGAAGTTGGGAAGCACAAACAGTTAAGCACTTGCTACAAACTCAAAGGCTGGTGGTCAAACCCATCCACAGCTGCCTCAGAAAGCCTGGCAAGCAACTTAAAAAGGACACAGGTGGGATCAAATAACCTGGTGTGTCCAAGCCTGGGGATGTGTGCTGCAGGCAGGTGAAGACAGCATCCCTTATTGGCCCACCTACTTCTCTCCTCCAGGTTTGGGAGACTTGCCAGTGGTGGCCATCTTGCCAAGGGTGATGTGATGAGGCTCAGAACAAACTGCCAGCTCACTCAAGATGGGGGGACAGAGGGAATAAGCTGTAACTACTATCAATACTCTATTCTGACCAGGGGTCAGCAAAATATAGCCCCTAGGCCAAATCTGGCCTGCCACCGGCTTTGTAAATAAAGTTTTATTGGAATACAGCCAAGCATATTTGTTTACGTTTTGTCTATAGCTGCCTTCATGCTGAGGGAGTTATGACAGAGACCATGTGACCTATAACCTGAAGCACTTACCACGTGGGATTTTACAGAAAAAGTTTACCAACCTCTGCTGAAACCTAACCGCCATGAGTCAGTCAACTTGACAGCAAGTGGTTGACTAGCCCATACAAGCCCTACACTCACTTCCAGACTCATTAAGAAAGGCTAGAATTGGAAATTGTATTGGAAATGTAATTGTAAGGACTGCCTCATCTTTCTCCCATGAAGAGGATAGTGGGTTGCACCACTGACCCTTCAGTTCACATTAGAGTGCTTATCCACTGTGCCACCAAGGCTCCTTCCTCATGAGGTGACACACTTCTGTACCATTTGCCAATGAAAGTATTCCTAACTGATAGAGGTGGTTCGACCTGTTATCAGTTCTCAATGAAAATGAAAAACACCATAGATGGCGCGTTTGCTCTGGGCCACCGCTCATTGGAATCTTTCTGGTCTTAGTTCTACAAGGAGCAAAGCAGGGATACAGGAGCAAAGTCATTGACCCGGGCCACACTGCTAGGAGGGACAGAGATGGAGCCCACAGCTGGGCCCAGCCGACTGAGAGATTCATACCTTGGCCCATGAGGCCAGGCAAATTCAAACAGCTCTCCAACCATGGGTAGGGATTGCTGCAAGGCCTCCAAAGGGGGAAAGATTCATGAGGTACAAGAGGGGGTGCTGTCCCAGGACTGTGCGGGTGGGTGGGGTGTGGAAGGAGGATTCTGGGAAGGCAAGTGGCAGATAGGAACCAGCCAGGGACCCCAGCCAGCAGCACTGCAGACCCGGGCCAGGCAGTGCCCAGAGCATCAGTGAGGCCTGTCAGGAAAAGAGGGGATGTGGCCAACCAGAAGGGATGTCCTCATGGCTTCTCTGTTTTCCAGGCCTGGGGGTATTGGCTGCTCCTTGGAGGTCCATGACATCCAACTGTTCCTTGTTAATTGTGGAAAATATGTTCATCCCTGCCACTCCTGTGGATTCGTCAAGGCCTGGGTGTCAAGTAAGAACGCAGTTAGCACTAGTGACGTCTGCCCAGCCTGTGGGCCAGCTCCGTCCATGCCAGCAATGCCCACCCAGGCCTCTCCACTGCTCCCCAGTTGGGCTTTGGAACAAAGAGATGTGGTGCAGTTATGGGAGCCAGGCAGGCACCTTGGAGCCAATGGTGACCACAGCCCTGTGGCGAACAGCCCAAGGCCCACACCCCACTGGTGGGCACATGTCCTCCAACCCTTTGGAGGTCCTTTGTTGTCTCCAGAATAGGTTCTGGACTAGGGTTCTTTGTTATGCTAATGAGGCCATAGAGAAAGCAGGTCGGCACTGGGCCCACAGACAGGCCAGCTCACTGGCTTCTGATCTCATTCCCAAAAAGCCCCAAATCCACATGCCTGGGGCTTGTTCATTGTCCTTTCCCTGACCATCTGCATGGACAGTCCCTCCCGGAGCCCAACAACCACACTGACCTAGGACAGGATCGATGCCTCCGTGCAGGCAGGACCGCAGCACCCAGGCCCAGCCCCATCAGAGAGGAGGGGACAGGGCACACAGACTGGGCACAGCATTGAATTTTGTCCTGAATCTCAACACCATCTTGCTGCCACCAGGCCACTCTGGGTGATCCGAAGGTGGGCTGCAGAGCATGGAGCCTGAGCTTCCTCTGTGCACTGTGGGTGCACCATGGGTGCTAATGACGGTAACACCTCCCAGGTGATTGCAGGGATTACAAAACGATGGCATAAAGCACCTGCCACTTGGTGAGTAATTAAGCTCTTCAGCCACATGAGCTCATCTAATCCCTCACAACAGGACTGGAGGGGGAGACCGTTATTAGCCCCATTCTCCAGATGAGGGACCTTAGGTGACGCGCGCTGGGTCCCATAACTAACCAGCAGGGTTGGGACTCGAACCTGGGGAGGCCACGCCCTAACCATTAGGTGGCACTATGTCAGTCAATCAATGCCAAGCCTCACCACAGCCTGGACAACACAGGAGTTGGAGGTACAGGAGGGAAAGACCCTGACCTCATTTTGGGGTGAAAGATGCTGAGTGCTGGGAGGAACTGCCCTGGGGATCGAGTGTGACTTAAGATGAAAAACCAAAGCTGGGCCACCCCCAGCCGGCAGGGCAGGTGGGATGGAAAAGCCTAATTGTGGCACTGGGTGGCGCTGGGCAGTCTAACCAGTACCACAGCCAGGGAAACGTCACTGTCAAGAGGGGAACAGAGCCCGCCTTCCACACTTCAGTCCTTGCTCACCTCACCCCCAACATGCTGCATCACCCTCTGTGCCCTGTTCTCCATCAGGCATCAGCAAAGTTACAGCTCACAAGCCCGGGCATGGGCATCACTGGCGTGAAGGGAGGAGAAAAGGCAGGAAGCGACTGGCCGGGAACACCAGGAGACAGGAGGGGGGCCTAACCTCTGGGCTCCCTCCCACATGGCTCACTGCCTGAGTGATGCTGGTTTTCCAAAACTCAGGCACGGGGGAGGGGGAGCCCACGGTTAGGGATGATGTAGGGAGCGGCCCTCCTTCCCAGCTCAGACCTTCCACAGGCCTCTGAAATAAAGATGAAGAAAACACAGCAGCCACCATGAGGACGCTGCAGAGAAGCAACCTGACGGCGCGTAACGGTAACTGCTGCCCCTGTGATGGAACTCGGCAGCTGGGGAAAGGCAGCGGGAGGGAAGTCATTCATTGTTACACACTCTGGTTGAGCCATGGTATGTATTACTTGTTGTTAGGTGCCGTCGAGTCGTCTCCGACTCATAGCGACCCCATGCACAGCAGAACTAAACACCATCTGATCCTGAGCCAGCTCCATGATCCTTGCTATACTTGAGCCCGTCGTCGCAGCCACCGTGTCAATCTATCTCGTCAAGGGCCTTCCCCTCTTTCATCGACCCTCCACCTTACCAAGCACGACATCCTTCTCCAGGGAGTGGTCCCTTCCGACAACATGACCAGAGTAGGTGAGACGAAGTCTGGCCATTCTTGCCTATTATTCAGTCAAAATAAATGAATATATTGTTTCCCCCCTTAAAACTGGTTGATAGAAGCAGGTATACACCCAGGAACCATTTCCACTTAATTAGAAATACAATGTGGGGGAAAGCAAAATCAATGTGGCCAGGCTCACTTTCAGCTCCCGAGTCTGTGGGCACTCTTACATCTGTATTTTGCAAAGCAGGTGAATGACATAGTTTTCCTAGAATGTGTGATGGGGTGGAAGGAGCTTACAACAACTCCAAGTCTCTTTCTCCATCCAATTGGAGAACCAGTGCAGTGACTCCCTGAGCAGGGGCAATTTACCCCCCGGGGACATGTGGTTGTCACAACTGAGACATGTAACAGGTATTTACTAGGTAGGTGCTACAGTTCTCAGGACAGAAGGTGTACAGGTGTCACCTGGGGCTCTAGGTGCGGTGCAGGATGTGATGCAGCTAGTCTGCCACCCTGCTGGGGCCTGACTCAGTCCTGCTGGGGCCAACCATGGCTCTTCTCAAACAAAGGGGAGACAGAGGGGCAGAGCGGCCAAGGCTGGGAGGAACCAGCCTGAGGGGTGGTGAGATGCTCCCGAAGTTTGGCTGCGGGGACGGAGGCCAGGGACTTACCATCCAGAGTCTCAACCGAGAGCTGCAGGCCCAGATTGTGCCGGGGGTTGACCACCCAGTGGTTGCTGGTGGCCGTGATGTCAAACACCAGCCAGCCCTCCTCCGAGGCCCAGAGGGTCCGGCTGTCGAGCAGGAACAGGTCAGACTCCCTGTGAGAGAACACACACAGGTCAGTCACCATGACGGGGGGACCTCATGTGGTAGGGGAGGCACGAGGAGGTTCACCGGGTTCCCGCACATGGGATCCTCTGACACAAACCCAGGCATCCCTTGTGGAGACAGAGGGAAGGAAAGACATGCAGGGAGACAAGCCTGCCCTCCAAATTCGCTCGGGGGATCTGAGCAGCACCAAAAGGAGGAAGGCAGGAATCATCAGGCCTCCTTGTTGCTGGAATCAGCTCAGGGAGCAGAAGCCCGTACATGAGGCAATTTACAGACTTTGTTTTAAGTCCTACACACATTATCTCATTTAATTCTCCCAAGAATTAAATAGGGATACAATCATCTCCAGGTAACACACAGGAAAACCATGGGCAACCCAAGGTCATTTCACCAGAAGTGGCCAACCTGCGGTTAGAACCAAAGCAAGTGAACACCAGTGTGGACATTCTTCATAGCCACACTGGTGTCTTCATGAGCTCCCCCAGCATTAGGAGAGGGCTGATGGTACTGAAGAGGTTAACCCCTTAATTCTTACCCCACCATCAGTAGTAAAATGGGTAAAACTACAAAGGGCCATTAGATGGAAGGACAGATGGGTGGGAGGGTGGACGACTTTTGCATTTCTACATACAATTCTAGTCTGCAAAGTCTCCTTGTACTTTTCATTTAAAGTTTAAATGCTTTAAAGCCTTCAATAGTCAGATACTGGGTTATATTGGTGAACAAGACCACTCATCAAGTTGATTCCAACTCATAAAGACCTCCATTGGGGGTCCAAGGCCGTAAATATTTACAGAGCAGATTGCCTCATGTTTCTCCCACAGAGCAGCTGGTGGGTTTAAACTGCCAACCTTCTGGTTAGCAACAAAATGCCTTACCTATTGCGCCACCAGAGCTGACAAGTGCTGGTTCATGGAAACCGTATGGCAGCTGTCTGAGATGGACATTATTACCTCTGCCACAGCGTGGACTCAGAACTGAGGCTCAGAGGCCATGTTGCTTGCCTGGGGTTATAGCACATGGCCACGGACCAGCCAGGCAGCCTGCGATGCTTGCCAGCTCAAACCCGTGACCACACTGACAGAGTCCTCTGGACTTCACCTCTGTCTGTGTTTCAGAGCCTTCAATGGCTCAATCCCACTAAACCAGCTAGAGCCGAGCAGCAGACCCTCCTTCAGATGAGGTGCCCACCTCCTGTGCGCCCCAGTGCCCAGTGCTCTGACCAAACCAACGCACTGTCCTTCCCCATCTTCCCTGCAGACCTCGAATGTGGGGCTTGCTGGCTTATACCACTCCTGGTGCCACAGTGTGAGAATTGTCAGGCATGTAACATGTGCTCAGCTTGGAGAAGGCAGGGAATACATCCGCAAATGGAGGTAGATGGACTCAGATTTATTTGAACTCAGACATGTATTAGACAAAGGAGCTCTGGTGGTATAGTGGATAAGGCATTTGACTGCTAACCAGAAGGTTGGTGGTTCAAACCCACCAGCTGCTCTGTGGAAGGAAGACTGGGCGATCTACTTCAGCAAAGATTTACCACCTCGGAAACCCAATGGGGGTCGCTATGAGTCGGAAACAACACCCTTTCCTAAGCATTATACATTTGCCGGGGGATGATCGGGTGCTTCAGAGTGGCCAGGGAGGCAGAGCCAGGCTAGGAAGCAGGAATGCCGGCAGGTGGGAAGGCACAAGGAGTTCTCCTCAGACACAAGCATCAGGAGTAAGGAACTGGAGCCCTGTTTCAGTCTTTGAAACCACGCTTCCAGAGAATCTAAGCAGCCTAGTCAACTCACATACCTTGTGCCTGGCTGCCTGGCCATTGGCTGGGAGTACATTTCACTTTGATGGGCAGGACCACTGTCTCACTTATCTAGGGCTGTTATAACCAAAACTATCAGTGGATGGCTTTAACAAACCGATTTATTTTCCCTCAGTTTGTTGTTGTTATGTGCCATCGAGTCAGACCCGACTCATAGTGACCCCTCCTTGGGTTTCGGAGGCAGTATCACTACGGAAGTAGATTGCCCCATCTTCCTTCCAGAAAGCAGCTCTAAGGGAAGGCTTTCTCTCAGTCAGCTCTGAAGGAAGTTCCTGTCTCCTCACTGTGTCTTGGTACCTGTTTTACTGTTTCTGCTCACCAGCTAGCTTCCTTGTTCAATCTCTTTCATGTTTCAAAAGATTGGCTCAAGGTACACTCAGTATCTCATTAACATAACAAAGACAGCCCATTCCATTACAGATGGGCTGGCAGGCACCAAGCAAGTCCAGAGGCCACCATATTAGCTCTCAAGGCCTGAAGATCATCTCTTCTCTGAGGACCATCTGGCCAATGGCCCTGCTCTCCAGACTCTGGGTGGAGGCCCCTTGGCCGGGCTTCAGCGCCACCTTCCAGGCCCTCTGGGAGAGCATCTGTCCTCTTGGCTTTAGGTTAGTGGTTCGAGCCCACCCAGAGCTGCCTTAGAAAAAATGCCTTGTGGTCTGCTTCTCAAAACCCAGGGCCTGAGAACCCTCCCGAGCTCTCGGTTCTACACACCCACAGGCTCACGGGGGTGCAGTGGACTCAGAGATAACCGCATCAGAATCCTGAGGCTGGTCTTAGGTCTATCCTCGTGGTGCCCTGCTAGTTTCACACTGGCTTGGGGCCATGGGGTGGGAGGTTTGCACATAGATCATAAACTTACAACAAGAATCCCTAGCTGTCCCCACCTCCGATGTGACTGACACCTTTCCTGGCTACTAAGCCACCCTGGTTGTCAATGAACTAGCAAGGTGTCCTCTGTGGTGAACAGATACGAGCAGAAACGCCAATCAGGATAAAGTGATGTGCCCTGCTGCAGAGGCTCCCAGGGTCCCTGCAAGAAACCTAGCACAGCACAGGAGTCACAAACTCGGGAGGTGACTTCGCTGGAAATCTGTTACTTCTAGGAAAACGTGACTAGCTCTCTGCACAGGCCCTCATGGACAGTGAAACAGTGAATGGTAACCTGAACAGAAACAGGCCTGTGAGCAGCAGACACCTTGCCACATGACACTAAGCATCCTTCATTACAGGCCACAGCACTGAGGTCAGCTGCAACGGTTGACTCACTGTGAATCAACATGAAGGCATCCACTCCCCTTCACTGAGTCCCAGGCTACAGTTTGTTCCAAGCAGGCTTGGGAACATCAAAGCTTTGTTTGGAAGCCTCATGAGGTGCTAAGAGGCTTTGCAGGGCAGGCATTAAGTGTGGGCCACTTGAGAAGGACCACGGTGAAAGCTGGCATGTCTAGGTACCACCCTGGGATTCTTAAAAGAACCCAAAACCAAACCACATCGTGGCCACCTAGTTGATTCTGAATCAAAGCAACCCTATAGGGCAGAATATAACTGCCTCATATAGGACTCCCAAGGCTATCATCTTTATGAAAGCAGACTGCCACATTTTCCTCCACGGAGTGGCTAGTGGGTTTGAACCACAGCTGAGCACCTCACCACAGAGCCACCAGGGTTCCTTCTCATCATTCACAACAGCCAAAAGATGGAAGCCCAGTGCCCAAACAGATGAATGGCTACACTGAGTGTGGGATATTCATACCAGGGAAGGTCGGACACATGCTACTACAATATGGATGAATGAAATCAGTCTGACACGCACGAGCAAATAACGCATGATCCCCCTTCTACAAACTACCTAGAATCAGCAAATGCATAGAGACAGGAGTCACGTAGTTGGTGACCAGGGACTGAGCAGGGGGCATCGGGGGAATGGGAATTACTGTGAAGGGGTGCTGAGTTTCTGAAGCCCTAGCTGAGGGCCAAAACTGGGTTCCCTTTCCTGTGCAGCCCCCAGCAGTCTCAGTGGACAAGGCTTAAAACTCTCTGGTCTTCAGAGCTTGAAACTGAAAGGGCTAGAGTAGATTTCCCAAGTCCTGGTGAGCCCTGAAGGAGCTTTGGTGGCATAGTGGGTAGGGCATCTCTGGCTGCTAGCCAGAAGGCTAGCAGCTGAAACCTCCAGCCACTCCGTGGGAGGCAGGCGAGGTAATCTGCTTCTGTAAAGATTTACAGCCTGAGAGACCGAGTAGGGGGTCTTTATGAGTCGGCATCAACTCAATGGCAGTGGGTGTGGGTTGGTAAGCCCCAGGAACCCCTGAGTGCTAGGAGCCCGCTGGCACGAGGGAGGTGGGAAGGACCTTCCCCACAGCCACGCAGAGTAGGTGGAGGAGGTTTGACCCAGGGTCCAGGAGTGGGTGTGACAATGTGTGGGGCAACCAGGTGTAGGGTTGGGTGGCGCACTTGGAATTGCCTCTCCCCAGGGCTCTACCACAGCCCAGAGCACCCCAGGGGCAGAGAAATCCTCAGGCTTCTAAATCGAGCTGTGTTCCCCACAGCAGTGTTTGTGTAAACCCCTCATTTGGCCCCATCCTGCATCCCACGCGGGATTTTACTTCCCCGGCGATGGATCGTGGGCAAAGGCCCTTCAACATCACCGTCTCGAAATAGTGTCCAAGTCACCAGAGGGTTAGGAAAAAGGCCTTCCCATCTTCCCACGGCTGAGTTAAAATATCCATTTTCCATTGTGGTAGAACTTTCCAGGGGAAGGTGGGCTGAGAGATGCTGGAAGCCAACTGGTGGTGGAGTTGACCCTTGCCTCAGCTGAGGTGAGTGGTGTCTGGGTCACCTGTTCCACCATGAGCCAGTGGAGAGGAGTGGGGTCATCTTGGGTCACACTTTTCAGAACAGAGAAATGGCCCCTGACCATGTCCATGGCCTACTTCCTAGGACCTGTGATCACGGTACCAGACATGGTGAAAAGGGACTTTGCAGAGATGATTAAATTCAGATCTTCAGATGGGAGATGAGCCTGAGTCTCCAAGGTGGGCCTAATGCCATCACTAAAGCCCTTCTAATAGGAGGCAGGCAGATCAGAGTCAGAGGAGAGGATGTGATGACGGGAGCAGAGGTTGGACTTAGGTGGAAAAATCAAGGAAGGAAAGTTTCTCCCCT